ACCAATATCTACCAGTGTATACCCAGTTTTAGGCATTGTATGCAAAACAAGAGCAGACAAAGTGTCCATTCACAAAGCTTTTATTTTGGTTTTGGACATTATTTAATAGATATCGCACGCTATTTAGGTTTATTCAATTCACCAAATGATTTAACACTTGGAATCTCCAACGATTAACGTTTGTGTTTGCAGAAATGACATTTTATTGTGTAACTCGCTATTTGATATTTCAATCCTCATTTTAACAAGCCAAATCATGAAATAAGTACAGAATGCAATTCACATACTTTTTTTGCCCATTTATCGACTGTTAGACAATAATGACATAAGCATCTTCTTCAGAGTGTCGTTATGATCGTTTTCTGGCGATATTTTCTGCTGTGAGAGGGAGATTTGTGAGGTGAATTGATAACTTCCAGTAGTGAAGCCTCTTTTTTTACAGTTTTTGGAAGATGGAACCATTTGCTTGTGTTTTATTATATTTTTGTTATTATTATTATTTATTTATTATTTTCTTGTAGTGGGGTTGTAATTCATAAACTTTGGTATAGGACCAGTGTCTTCACACAGAGGTTTTTTTTAATGGCATTTTAAAGCCCAACTACAAATGATAAAAAAAAATCCCCCAGGAGTAGGTAAAGTGTAGAAAAAACCCCAGCTCTCACTGCAATACTCACCTTCTCTCTGGCACTTTCTCCCGCAGTAATTGTTTGCCACTAGAGGTTCTCGGTCTTCCGAGTGCCATTCAAGTCTGGATGACTGAGAACATAGCGTGGGTGCAGGACATCATGGACCTGCTCCTAAGGGAAAGTCACCACAGTGCCCTGCACTTAGAGATAATGATGCAAAAAGTGTCGTTGATGTCATCAAAACAGTACCACTTTTTGCATCTTTCAGGAATGCCCAGCACTGGAGAAAAGGGAAAGAGGACTTTGTCTGTGAAGGTTCTCATTCATCCAGGTCATTGTATATCTGTAAAAAATAAGTCAAGGCAACTGACTTCATTCTGAATTGAGAAAGCCGGTCGGATGACTAGTGAAACGTCTTGAAGAAAAATACAGCAAGTCCAGTTCCCTTGACGTATTCTTTACAGACAAAGAGGACTGTGGTCATCACATGGTAGACTTGAAGACATCTGAAAAAAAGGGAGAATTAAAAAAAAGCCCAAAATACTGCCAGTGATCTTCCAGGGGAGAGAACCCAGAATTAGGATTTAAGTAGACATGTGCACTGCCAAAAAATTTGTTTCGTTTCGTTTTAAATTCGGATTTGTGTTATTTCGTTTTTCAGGATTCGGGTGTGAAAGTCAATTCGGATTCGGAATTCGGATTCAGACGAAATTCGGTTGCGTTAGTACGAACGTTCGTTTCGTTTTCTGTTCTTATTCGTTTCTTATTCGTTTCGTTCGTTTGCATCAAAAGTGACATTTGAGGGGGAAAAAATATTTTTATCCTTCTCTAATGTCACTTTGCTCCAACGAACGAAACGAATAAGAAACGAATAAGAACAGAAAACGAAACGAACGTTCGTACGAACGCTACCGAATTTCGGAAATGGAAATTCGGATTCGTTTGCATTCGTTATGTCTGTAATTCGGAATTCGGATACATCCGAATGTCCGAATTTCCGAAAATTCGTCCGAATTTCGATTCGGAACGAAACGAATCGCACATGTCTAGATTTAAGCCAACAACATAGTCACTATTAAAGGGCCACTTGTAGGGGACTGGGCTAACAGGAAAACTACCCTATTATGCCAGTCCTGAGTGGGTGCTCACAGCTTAACCAGCATGAATTTCAAAACACTGTGCACCTGACAATCATGTATATGCGCCCTCATGCTGGCAATATAATTATTCAACCTTGATTGTGATAATTTTCCCCGAATTGTAAAAGAATGAAAACAATAATAATTTATTTTACTGAACTATGAGCAATAAAATTTAAGGTATCCCATTTGAAAGTAATGGTAAATCTAATGGCATACTATCAGACTGCTTGATGGGGTTTGTTTTCAATCAATCCTTCCCAACCTATTAAATAAGGAAATAATTATAAAATCTTCATTCTTTCAAACAATTGTAATTGTATTAGTGATCCAAAGTTGGAGTTGTTGAAATCACTGAAAGTTGGTAGTATGTTGCTAACATAATGCTGAACATACTTCTAACGATTTTCAGACAATTTCCTCCACTCTCAACTTCAAAAACAACCAAAGTAATAAATGCAACCTGGGTTTTGTTGACACTAAAAAATATTTGAAAGCCTTTATCCATTCAGTTGTCTTTGCAATTGAAGGCGTATACAATTGCCTGAAAATTGGCATCTGTATGGCCACCAATATATGAGAGCAGACACTCAATTGTTCTTGATGGAGGTGCGGGCAGCTGACCTTTCTTGGCTGCTTGCTATTGTTCTCTTATGATAATATGTTGCTGGGGCTGTCTGCTCTGTACACAAATAAGAGAGCTTGGCTGATTACAGTTCATTTCTATGCGCATGTTAAAGAAAAGGTTTGGTGGTCAGGCTATGCTCTCTTACATCTGTTGCCAGCTTTAGACAAACTGCAGATGTGAAATAACAAGTACAAACATTCCCGTCTGTGTGGCTGCTTTCACTGCCAACTTGTGCATAACGCACCCATGGCTGTTAAATGCCTCTTAGGGCCCATTCAGACCATTGTTCATGCAGCAGCCTGTACCTCCCTGTGGGAGGATGCGCCTGCACGCAATTACCGGCGGTTACATGCACACCTGAACCTGAACATCGTGCGGATCCAGGTGCCCACACTTGCACGCAAGATGTCCCATGGATAGGGCAAAGTTAATCTGAAATGTGAACTTTAGGCACTGGGCTCTTCTTATGGCCCTTTACAAACTTTGTGTACTGTGTTAGTCGCAGAGCTCTCTGCAGGTCCAGGACCATGGTAAGTCCCTAAAAACTCCTTTATCATGTGTCTGAGAATTGGGAACTACTGCATTACAGTAGTTTCTTCCTATCATTGCTACTATTTGCAAGGGACTAAAGATTATTGGCCAAGGTTAATCCATGATGCGGCCTACAGTGACGTTCAATGGCCAAAGGTGGCCATTAAACCTTTCCTGCTCTCAGCATCCAGTTTGTGATGACCTAAGTTTTTTTTTCTTGGTGCTGTTAGTTTAAGTTGCCTTGCTCTAGCATTGCAACATGTCAGACCCAAAATGCAAGGGCAGCAACTATAGCTGACTTGGGTCTTCTCCAGCTGTTGAGCCACTAATAATGCTGGGGACCGGACCCAGACAGCCTGAATCGTTGTCCCCCGCTTCAATCAAAACACTCTGAGTCTTCCTTGGCTACATCAAACGTGGCCCCCTCCTTGACCTCATCCATGGAGGGGCTCTCTACATCTATACTTTAGTATTTAGCTCCTCCTGTACAGCCACCTGTGACTCCATGAGGTTTGAATCTGGTTCTCTTAGATCTTTAAAAAACACATTTTGAACCTCTCAGGGATATTTGCCTTTATACTCTCACCTCAAAGGGTACTTCCCTTGTTGCCATCACCTCTGTGAGCTGTGTGTCTGAGCAGCAGGCTCCCTCCAGCCATACCTGCATTCCATTTATCTACTGCTTAACTATACTCTATACCCCAATATGGAGACTCACAAAATTAGAGTTAGGACCACACTACAAAGAGGAGCCTTGATGAGCCAGTGTGGCTTCCACATATTTTGCAAAAGTGTGCAACTAAAACTTCTGTTTTTAACACATATTGTTAGACAGGGCAATTTGTGTTGCTGCAGGCTGGCCGGTAAGTCTGCTGGGAAACTTCTGTGTTTTGTATTGTGTGTCTGAGCTGGCAGCCTTGTCCTGGAAAACCCTATATAGTTCTACACAGGGACATTCCAAAATTGTAGAGTTGTCCCCAGAACAAGAGGTGAAGGGAAATCTTACAATGGGGACTTTCAGTATTGTGCAAGACACCACTACAGAAGGCATGCTTTACTTTTTTTGTGTTATACTTTATTAACAGTAAGTGAACACTCCATGCAGGTCTGTGTGCTGTGGTGGCCTCCGGAGCCATGCAGTGCTCTACGAAAGAAGCACCATGTCTGCATTATTCCGCACATCACACCAGCCTTGTGCTGTCAACGGGGCACATAGAAAACAGTTGTCGATGCCAGCTGGTGTAAGAGAAAGTCCTCTCACTTTGGGATATTTCCTCTAACTTCATGTTGCATCTCAGGGACAGGAAGTGAAGGAAAAAAACATATCCGTCAGGGGTTTTTCCTCTGTTCTATCCAAAACTAAAAAAAATGTTTTGACTGCACTTTTACGGCTCATTCACACCAGTGACCAGGCACTATACTCTCTATAATGTGCCCCCACTGGTGTGTGTGGTGCAGGGGCAATGTGATGCTTTGTTACACTACAGTTTACTTTTTTCTAACTTTATTGAAATGCCACAAAATGACATTTCATTCAATACATGCACCCCAGCAATTACCAATGTTTTGTTGCGCATTGCAACACGCACGCTGCATAAAGATGCAACCTGTTGTACTTTGCTTTAGCGCTCGACAAAGCAGTACCATGCCATGACCTGAAACAATAGGACATAAGACGGCCTGGTATTTGAGATGGGCAATACTACCCAATGGGGCTGCTGTGGGACAGCTCAGGGGCCCTAAAACATCAGGCCTTACACAATGATTGAACAGACATCATGAGAACATGGAGGAGTCCTAAAACATTCTTGACATTGAACACTGAACTCCGTATAATTAATGATTAGTGATCTATTGTGTCTACATATAGGAAGCATGTGCGTGTATAATGTGTATTGTGATTTATTAGTCTAGTGACATCAGTGTATACAGTGAATTGCCCCGGAAATGGGTTTTGCAGGGTTGTCATGTATGGGGTGTCTCCGCTCTCACCGCCCCTCACATACACACTCGGCGCTCACTCACTCAGCACACAGGAGGGTGTTGTGCGCATGCGCGTTTGGAGCTGCTCAGTCTCAGCATAGAGAGGGCTGGATTGCTTGGCCTGGGCCGCCTGAGCTGTCCCGGGGCTTCCTCGGCCTCACACAGTGCAGAGGGCGCCAAGACAGGAACGATCTTCTCCCCTGGCTGTACCATGGAGCCCTGAGCGCTTCTACCGAGGCCCCTACCGGGAGAATGAGCCGCTGAGGGAGTGAGGACCATCCGGGGAGCATCGCTGCCATCATGGCTCAGGAGAAAATGGAGCTGGACGTGGACATCCCTAGCGATGGCAGCCTGAGGAGATCCAATAGTGCCCCCCATATTAATGTGCTCAGGTGAGGCTGTGTGGGGGAGGAGGAGGGGGCCCTGTGCACTGCTGGGAATGGGGCCCGGTGTGGAGTCCATTGTATGGAGCATCACAAACTACAGTGACTGGATGTGGATGGAGGGACCTGTGGCTGCCCAGCTGTGTCTCCTTGTGTCCTCTCTGTGCTGCCTGAGCATGCTGGGATTTGTAGTTCTGTCACTGGAAGATTTTATTAGTTTGGGGAAGCTGAACATTTATATGATTGCCAGCAGTCCCTGCTATCTGGTCATGTTACCCGGTTCTGGAGATCAGGCCCTGGTATCTGGCCATGTTACCCGGTTCTGGAGATCAGTCCCTGGTATCTGGCCATGTTACCCGGTTCTGGAGATCAGTCCCTGGTATCTGGCCATGTTACCCGGTTCTGGAGATCAGTCCCTTGTATCTGGTCATGTTACCCGGTTCTGGAGCTCAGTCCCTGGTATCTTGTCATGTTACCCGGTTCTGGAGCTCAGTCCCTGGTATCTGGTCATGTTGCCTGGTTCTGGAGATCAGTCCTTGATATCTGGTCATGTACATGAAATATAAAAAAAAAAAACAGGGACTTAAGCGGGGGCCCAGTCCACCTGTCCCCCGTGGCCGTCCACCTGCGGCTGCACTCAGTGCCCACACCGTGCCTTACACGTGTGTTTATTCACTTGCAGATGGTGGGGTTGGTATAAATTTTTCATTATTTTTAAACTTTTTTTAATTTGTGTTTTATTATGATTTACTTTTTTTGTTAATTTTTTAAAATTTATTTTAGCTTTTTTTTTTATTTCACTTAACTTTATTGCTATCACACAGGGGCTAACAAGCAGGCGGCGTACTTGTGATCTGGGCGCCCAGATCACTTGTACAAAACGGCTTCACTGCTCTACATTTAGGTGTGCTGCTTGCCCGCCCCAGTGTTAAATGTAAGGGGGGGGGGGAGGGGGGAAACACATATCGCCCGTCCTGCGCATTGGGCGATAGGAGTTCCGCACCCCTGATTCTGTCCTTGATATAATGATTTATTTGCACACACAGATCATTTTTTCTAGGGTTCACCCCCTCTTCTTTATGGTCCAAGCAGTACTGTATCATCTTCTCTATTTGTACATTACAATACTGGAGCACTGCTTGGACCGAGAAGAAGGGGGTGACACCAGAAACCTTGTCTTAAAAAATTATTTGTTTGTGCAAATAAAAGATCACAGGCAGAACTCAGCTGTGTTGTTGCCAGTGCACTAAAATACTAAAATCACCTTAGGAATTGTTATTGCTGGCTGTGTTTTGTCATCCGGTGGTGTGAGTTCCTAAAGCTGAACCCCAGGAACACACATGTTCATTTAAATACATTCATCAAATCGCCACAAAGGATATTACCTTGTAAAAGTAGCAGTGATATCATTGTGTTGCATATAGCTGGTGCAGAGCTGTGGGAGGGAACTAACAGGCTCCACCCACTACAGACTGCCTGCAGAGAACTACAGAAGAGGGGGCGTAGACAAGACCAGTCACCCTCCATGAAGAGAGAGAGCAGCAGGAAGCTCCTGCACAGACACAACGTTTTACACTGCATTACTGCACAGATCTGAAAGAAATACACAAAGCACACCAGTAGTCAAAGAAGAATACAGAATGAAGACTGTACACAGGACTCTTGTAATTCCATAATATTTGCTTATCCCAGAGTTCAGCTTTAAGTTATATGTACTATTTTCATATGTGAAAGATTTCATATAGCTGTCGCAGCCAATGAGGTACCAGCACAGTGAGGTGTGCAATGACTTCCTTCCCCATAAAGCAGTGTGCATGTGCAATATGGATGACTTGTGCATATTGTCTTCATATCACGTGCACATCTCATCTTTATATTTCCGTGCTTCTTTTCCTCAAACACTGTTGAGTTGCATCTTCAAGAAGACAAGGGAAATGGAACGGCTGCCATTGCTGATCTCTTTATAGAATTCCAGCAGGCTGGTTGTCATGGTGATTTTGTGGCATCAGTACTTTGTGTGTCTGACCCAGAACGAGCATGTACATCCGTTGGGCTGACTTCATTTGCTGCATGCCTGTACCAGGGATATGAAGTATTGAAGTCAGAGACGTTCCAAAGCTTGACATCATCCGCCATATTTCTCTCTGTACAGAATTCCTTCAGATGCCATCTGTGTCTGATTCTGAGTGAACGGTGTATTTGATGTTCTTTTCTAACCGTTGCTTGTTTGTTATTTGCAGTGATCACTCACAAGTGTTCCAACCCTACGCGGTGAGGGCGCGCAGAAACAGCACCACTTTTGTGAACCGCCAGACCCTGGTAAGAGCGCATGGAGACCCAGAATCTCTTTCCAGTTGTGTTGGTCTATAGAGTGTGCGATCTGCTGTTTTATTTTACGCTGGCGTCACGCCATGCCTGTTGCCTTCAGCTCTTGCTGAGATGTATTAAATGCACTTGAGTTGATATGCGTTGACATCCTTGGTTTTTTTAACACGTCAAGTTGCATTGATGTGCTTTTTTTTTTTTTAATAACTGATGGGCAGGTTTATTTGCTCCTGGCAGCGCCAAATGCACTTATCTTTCTTTCCTTAAAGGACAAGTTCACCTTTTGCAAAAATTTAAGAAATTAATATTTAATCATATTTAAAAAAAAACAAAACATTTTGATTCAAGCCTGGAAAGTATCGCAATTGTGATCACTGGATCAAGGCTGCAGAGCTCAGGCTTCTGCACATTCTCCCCCAGGCAGAGCTCTGAAGAGTTTTTTAGGAAAGGTGGGGGAAGGGCAGTTGGACTACAGACTGCATTGAATCAGCTCATACAGCGTCCATCTGTCCTCCCTCTGGTTACATGCGGGAATATGGATAGCTCCACCGCATCTAACCAGAGGGAGGGCCGCTAGGATTTCCAAGACATTTTTAAGTGACGTATCTTTTATATTTAGGGATGCACTGAAATTCAAAAGTTAGGAGGCAGCTGTCATTTGTAAGGAGCACACGGAGCTCCTGGGATTTGTACATCTGTTTTAATGTATGATTTTGTTTTTATAAATAAAGGGATGCACCGATACCATTTTTACAAGTACTGATACTTGTCCAAGTACTCACAGATACAAGTACTGATACATTTTGGTTTATTGTCATGTGTCAGTTTTTCTAAAACAATACAGACTAATTATTTCAGGAGAGTGGTGGAGCACCAGAGCCAGGTCCCAGTTGCAACCCTGGTAGTTCTCGTGAAAATGCCAAGTATCGGCACTGGTACTCGAAAAGTATCGGTGCATCCCTACTTATATTTGACATTTTATGTCCTAGTACAGATATACTGCTGTTTAGGATGTTGCAGGGTTTTGTTGCTAAAGTTTACAGACATAAATTGTTTGCAAAGAAAAAAACTCTTTATTTAATTAAGGGTTGGACCCGCTGCCAAGTTTTTGTTTCAGTCTATGTCCCTGCTGTGGAGATTCACTCCACTATTTATCCTGGTGATCATTGTTGTCACAGAAATGGAAATAAGGGTCAATCCCCGATGGTAAAATTGTCATGAGACAAAAGGTGAAGGGAACAATTGCACTGGGGGTAGATGCTCTTGGTGGCAACTGTCTAAATTGGCCTAGAAAAGGAAGTGTTTTTGGGCTACAGAACACTTCCCCCATCTCATCATCTCTATGACATGTTTATTATTTGCCCAGAGATGGGCTTTAAATAAATAAAAAGTTGCATGAAGAGAAGTCTTTTTAATTCTTACCTGTTACTCTGCCAGCACCACTCTTTCCCCAATCATCTTCCTGGACAGCAACCTGAGAGATGATTGGTTCCACCTTCTACAGGAAACACAATTAGCAAAACAGTTAAAAGCCCCTCCCCTTCCCCTCGTACCTCAGTTTAGATTGTGTTTCCTACCGTCCAGGACCACGTCACGTTTGTTCTTTTTCTTCCTGACCGGTTGGCCTTGAGGTCACGGATCCCCCTCTGTGCAGCTCTGCTGTTGAAGGTGTTTTCCCTCCCTTCTGGCCTTGCTGTAGAGCGGAGGGGTGTTTTTCCCTATGTTGTTTGAAAGGCCAGGATCTGGTTCCTTTCTTCCCTTAAAGGATCCACTCCTGAGGCCCCCAGGCCGGTCACACACACTTCCAGGTGTGTCAGATGCCTAGTCCCTGGCTGTGGTTCCTTCTGCTGGCCCGTATATTACTACTGTATCCTGTAGTGTAACGAAGTTGCCAGGAGAAACCGCATAGTGCCAAGGGGGACCAGTCATCTGACAGATGCTGAAGATTCTGCATCCAAGACATCTTTAATATTATTATACAGGATTTATATAGCGCCAACAGTTTGCACAGCGCTTTACAATATAAGGGCGACATAACAATCATTATACAAATCAAGACAAGATGGTAAGGAGGGCCCTGCCCGTGAGGGTTAATACATTGGAGAATGGCGGTGCGGACAGGTACAGGGTCTAACTAATACCATTTTCATTTTTGCATGCAACTCATCTTGTACTTGAATCTTTTCTGCACAGGTACCATCTTCCTCCCCTGTGCGAATACCAAGCAGCAGACTTCATCAGCTGAAAAGGGTAAGAATCATTCATCTATAACAGGGGTGGACAAATGAATATGGAATTCAGGAACCAGTCTGTCCAATCCAGGAGCCAGCAGGATGATGTTAGGAGCAAGTTCCATTAACAACAACTAGAGAAAACCTTAAGGCCCCATCCACACTGAGCGATTTATCGCGCATATTTACCGCGTGATATCGCTCTCCAATGCATGACAATGGGGCTCTGTTCGTCGCGGGTCGTGCGTCGCTACAACAGGACCCTTTTTTGGAACGGATTTAGGCGCATTTCTACTTTGCTCAATGCAACCATTTGCGCGATGTTGCGCAAAATGCAAATCGTGCAATTTGCGTTACGCTCAGTGTTAATGGGGCCTAAAAGTTAGGCGCCAGCTGTCATTTTTAAGGAGCATTGGCTACCTGGCTCCTGGGGCTTGTCCAGTTCTTATCTATAAGTTTGTGTTGAAATACAGTCTGAGTATGCACATAGGTATGATTTCATGGTTCCCTCTGAAGAACTATAATATACCTATTAATGTTTCTGTTAAATAAAAGTTGGTTCATAGATTTGAGGTGACTAGGCAGTTTGTAGTAGGGATGCACCGATTTCGGTATCGAGTACCGATATTTTTTCTTTCGGAAAAACCGGAAGTGCCATTCAGGAAGCCAGGTGCTGTGTAATGACTCACCACCCAGCTTCCCGATTAGCAGGGAAGCAGTCTCCATGCTTCTCATCACTAGGTGACGAGAAGGCATGGAGCCGGCTTTCTGGCCAATCAGGAAGCCAGACGCTGTGCAATGACGCGGCCAGGAAGCCGGGCGCCGCGTCATTACACAGTGCCTGGCTTCCATGCTCCCTCATCATGATACCGGAAGGATCGGGCTAGGCATCGGAGCATTTGGGCGAGTACCAGTACTCGCCCAAATACTCATTGGCACCGATACTGGTATCGGTGCATCCCTAGTTTCTAGTGTGTATTCTGCATCAAATGGCAGTTCTTAACATTAAAGGATAGTTAAACCCTCCCGTTTTTTTACATATATCTACTGCTAGCAAGTAGTAGATATATGCAAAAAGTTAAAAAATAAATAAAAAAACCCGCTCAAAAAGTTTACTCACCTGTGTTCCGTGCGCAGTCCTGTGCGAAAATGAGAAATTTCTTGAGCGGCTGCAAAGGATATTGGGGCGGGCGCATGCGCAGTTCTCATTTTCGGCCAGGACGCAAGGTCGGAGGGACAGAGCAGTCAGTGCTGGATCGGAAAGCCGCCGCACCGCTGGAGAGAAGGCTGAAAACATCAGGAAAGAAGATTGGAAAAAGAGACATCATTTAAGGTAAGTGCTAACATTAACATGGGAAAAGGGAATGGGAAATTAACATGAGGGAAACATTTTTTTTTTCCTTTAATGTCACTTTAACCAATGATTACTTCCAGTGATTTCTTGCTACTCTGTACAAAGTAGCGAATCCCAAGCAAAAAAAAAAATCCCCTTTTTGAGTCAAGATCTGTGTTAAGTAAGCAGCTTCTCTTGGGGCTGTGTGCGTGTCCAGAAAATGTTGCCCTGATTAGTTGAAACTTTTCTTTCTCATGGGGGATTTTGTTTAACACTTGAAAAGCTCACTTTGCATATTTGTGATTCTGTACTTTCAAAAGTTTACCAGGTGCTCCTGGTGTAAAGAGTCAATTCTGGGGAATCCGTATGAATTCTCTGCATTATACACCTTCTAGAGTGACACATAAGACAATGCATTTAGAACTTTAGAGATGTTCAACTTTTTTTTAGATCAGCTTTAGCTCATTTTCTTCGATTTTGAAGGGGTTACATTGTTAGGGGAAGATACCATTGATGTCCACTCTGATTGATGAAAACATTTCATCTGTTTTATTTATATATTTTTGCTTGTAAATACAAGTAAAATTGTTAGAAATAGATTCTCCTGGACTTTACCAGATGCATGCTTGATCCAGGTCACTTATTGGCTAGGTAGTAAGGCCATAGGTAAGAATGATTGTCAGTTTCTTGTATCTCTGCATGGGAGTACAATGGCTGACATATCAAGTTACCCTTTTTAAAGGGTGTATTTTATAGTAATATAATCATAAAGGCCCACTTGGTTCCCTTTGTCCTCCTCTATTGAAAATGATATACCTCATATATAAGATGTACCGTAAGTCCAGTTTAAAGTACTGTGATTTTCTGTGTGCAGTACTGTGCTTGTGATAGCTCCCTGCAATGGAGAAGGCCTACAGGAAAGCAGACTGGTCATTCTACTTTATGGTGTGGAGCTTGTTGGATCCACAGTGCTGCACAGCCCACAGGCTTTCAGGAAAATAAAATGGCACCCAGTTAAATTTGCACTTGTTATGTTTAAGTTAAACTAATTTCAGGAGTTAAATCTTAAAAATGCATTCAAGTACCTTAACTATTATAAAAAAATGTATCTTATATTTGTGTATCACTCAGCTGTAGATCCTCAAATCATCTCTGAATTGGTGCTGACACTGTCCCTCCTTCTGGAGGGTGGCTACTTTTGTTCCCCATGGTCCCTGTGTGTGTTGTAAAGTAGCCACCGCTCGAAGGTCGCTCCTGCGATGGACTACAATCTCACATTTAGTTTCCTGATTTGTGTTGAGATTGTAGTCCATCATGGGAGTGAGCTTGGAGCGGTGGCTACTTTACAACACACACAGGGACCATGGGGAACAAAAGTAGCCACCCTCCAGAAGGAAGGACGGTGTCGGCACCAATTTCAGAGATGATTTGAGCATCTACAGCTGAGTGATAAACAAGTAAGGTCCAGTATTGTTACTAGTTAAGGTATTTTTAAGATTTAACTCCTGAGTTTAGTGTCACTTTAATTGTATATTTCCTTTAAAAATAGAGGCAAGTAGAAAAGTGTCCCTTGAAATATGCCATAGATAGAAAGTTAGATTGAGTAAGATGTAGAATTATAGACAGTTATAACCACCATAGCAGTAGCTACTGTGTTTCCCCGAAAGTCGGCAGAGCGGACAGCAGCAGCCAGGTAAGACATCCCCCGAAAATAAGACCTAGTGTCTTTTTTCGTGAAAAATAAATAAGACACTGTCTTATTTTCGGGGAAACACGGTACCACATGATTGTTACTTCCTTAATGTTTGGCTCTGTCACATTGTGATTTTTCTTATTTTTCAGTAAACTGTAAAATTGTGAGTGACATTTCAAGCACTGTGAGGATAGAATCACTTACAGGGTTATTCACGAAAGGGTGAAGAGTTTGGAGAAGGCAGGGGAAGTGAACAATCTAGGACAACATAGCTGATCTGGAAAGTGAGCTAGAAAGTGAGCTAAATTGGAGAATTTTTCTAGTTCAGCTATGTTGTCCTAGATTGTTCACTTCTCTCTCCTGCCTTCTCTAAACTCTTCCCCCTTTTGTGAATAACCCTGTTAGTATAACTGCCTAAACTAGCCAGACAATCTTGCCAAAGCAATTCAATAGGCCTTTATTTCAGACCATTTGCTGCAAGACTGTTTCGGTCACTTTGTCTGGCATGCTATACCCTGCAGGTTCCAAGCCACAAATCAATAACTATTCTTTGTCTTTCAAAGGAGGAAGGCGTAGATCTGATGAATCGAGAGACCGCACGTGAACGGTAAGCATATTTTCCCCCCTTTTTACAGTGTTAAAATGTATCTAAATCAAAGAACAAAAATGTAATATCTTGTAGCTTACCAGTCCTTAGATGTTAGGGGTGTATTCGTTTTCTTTTTGTAATTTCTTTCCATTTATTTTCACCTGGTGAAACATGCCAGTAGCATGCCAGCTACCTATCTGAGGCTGACAACATTAACTCCTTGTACTGCATCTATAGAGAATAAACCACGTCACCATAGTCTGACCGCTCCTAATGTAGACTACAACACCCTCCCCTCTCCTCGTCTCTATAACATAGGGAGTAGTTGTCCTGTAGTTGAGATTCAAACTGGGAAATGCCAATTTCACTGCTTGAGATTCAATTGCACAGAAAGTTACGAGCACACTGGATTCCTAGAAGGATCGGGAAGATTTCTGTTTTTAAGAAGTCAAAGCATAGAGCATTGGAAATAAATCTTCAACTGATGATTTTTCAGCACATTGTTCCAGAAGGCCTGATATTTGCCTATACTGTATCTTCAATTGCAAACTGCAGTCTTGCTCTGTGCTCTTTTTGGACAGCAAAGGGTTTTTTTTCCTGGCTTGTTTCCCAAGCAAGTTAAATCGGTGCAATCTTTTTTGATTGTAGATGAATGCACTTTGATCCCAACTGTTGCAGGAGCTACCTGAACAACTCGCAATTCAAATTTGGGGTTTTTGCAGACTTCTTTTAGCATCTTATGATCAGTGGAGTACTGACTCTTTCCATGTGACAAATCTGTGTGTATATATAGTAAGAAAGTCACTGGTCTGTAATCAGTATTGACAATAAATGCGGCTTTATTGCATTCAACATAAAAAGTATCTTTATCAACAGGGTAAGTTTTCCCTTTTTAAACAAACGAATTCCAGCAGAAACTCAAGAGTAACATAAATAAAAAGGCCTACTCCACCTTAGGAGGCTAACTAACAGTAGTGTCCAACTGTAGCGGCTATTCCAGCTTCCAGTATAAATGAACATGAACAAAACCCACAGTCCAATACATACAGTGTTTAGCCAGACCTTATCCCACAGACATTCAGACGCTCTCCAGTCTGTATGCATCCATCCAGTCCAGCATGGATCTCCCTCTCTGAGCTCTTCGGTCCAAGCTTGCTCCTGTGATGGACTACAACCTCAATACAAACTAGTAGTCCATCACTGGAGCCATTTTTTAAACTTTATTTTATAGTTTATCCGATTAATTGAACTTAATAATCGCCTAACTAATCGATTTTGAAAATAATCGTTAGCTGCAGCTCTAATATATATATATATACTATGTATATATGATTTTTTTGTTATTTTGCTCATATAAACTAGTGGTATTTTGTTTGGTTATTGTATGGCCTTTTCTAATATTTATACAACAGTGATTCAGTACTAATTTATTTTTAATGTGTTTAGGGAAGTGCAAACTGCAATGCAAATGAGTCTTTCTTGGGAGGACAGCTTCAGTCTGGTAAGTAATTATACATTAATATCCCGTTGTAATGTATACATATAAGAACATGTTTAATTTAAAACTTTATAAGCCAAGTGGATGGGACATTTACCAATATTCACTTCAGGTGAATCCGTCAATATCATTTAAAACGCATGCACCAGGAAGCTGTACCTCCAGTGACTGTTTGGTGCAGGTCACATTCATGGCTATATAAATATACCCCAATAACTTATTTCATTGCTCTAAGTGTTTAAAGTAAACGTATCAGGTCTTTATAGCAGTATATGTGTTTAAAGCCTTTAATGTCAGACAGCTGAATACTCTGGGAGTTTCCCCTACCTGTAATACATGCCCGTCTTCTAGTCAGAAAGGCTTTGCACATTGCGCTGAGGGATGGTCACGTATCTCGTACGATAATCGGCAGGTGTATGGGCAGCGTGCGACCGCTTCTACTGTAAGGTCGCACAACTTTCGTCTTCCAAGCACGCTGGAAAACCTGCCGAAAATCGTCCTATTTTCGGCAGGTTGCGGGTGGCGTGCTCGGAAGACGAATGCCGCACTGCCCACTCAGCACTGCAATCATCGCAAGTACGATCTGCCTGTCCAAGATGGGCAGATCATACGAAATTTTAATCGCCTTACAACCATCGCACAATGAAAGTCGTGCAATGGTTGTAAGGTGTATGGGCAGCTTAAGACTGCAGAGGGGTAAAGTGTAATTCACAGAATGTGACTGTAACCTTTTTGGAAGGAAGGTATTGAGCTGACCTGCCCTTTGCTATTTTTTTTACTGGCCAGTGACACCAACCCTCAAATTGTAAAAGCAAATAGAGGTGAGGCCTCCCTGAATTTCCTTTCACAAAGTTGATTTGCTTAATCTGCAGTAGCACCCCTTTGCGGCTCCCACAATGTTCAACAAGAAAACTAGAACTGTATGTTGTCCACTCCCAGGTTTTTTACTTTATAATGGTAAAGATGTTTCAAAGCTGATCCGAGCTGCTTCCAACTACTACTTACTATTCCAGAGGAAGGCAACCTCAGCACTCCAGCTCTGGGAATCGTGCCTCTAGCTGTCAGTCGTGCAGTGCCTCATGGGACTTCATAGTATAACAGCTGGGTTGCTGAGGTTGCCTACCCCTGCACTATACCATGACCTGGATAATTGGAGCCATTAGACACTTTAAAATACATCTCGGCAAAAACAAAAAACACTCTATCCGAACTTCACCCAGAGCCCTTCGTTGCCTGGATGATCCTCTGATCCATGGCTTAGAGTCGCTGACCTGCATCAAGTATGTAGCTCAGGAGATGTGCTTTCTTTGGGTCAATGACTCAGAGGGTATAGGGGCAATATACTAGAAGGAGGTCTTCAGTGGCAGACTCTATAAATCTCTCATCTATATGGATTTTTATTTTTCCTTCTAACTTTTTTTTATTTGGTTGAGGCTATTTCTTCATATCAATAAATGGGGGTATGTTAAGGGCACTCAAACTATGTGGACCCAGTGTTGAATGGGGGAATTGGGTGGTGCCGATGGTAGGTGTGCAGGTTGAGGTATCCTGCGTAGTACTAGAAAACAAAAAGAAACAAAAGAGCACCACAACCTAGCGCTCATAGCAATGCTTTTGTGAATGTTTTTTTTTTCTTATTGTACTCCTTCCAAGCCTAAAACACTCTTCCTTTCACAGAGTGATAATGATTTTGAAAAACTGGATAAACCTTCATCCCCAAAACGTGTAGATTTTGCTCCAGTGTCGCCAGCCCCTTCACCCACAAGAGGAATAGGAAAGGTATGCAGTAACACATTTTGTCCGGATGACTTCAGGGTTCCAATGCCATATCAGACAGTAGTAAGATAGTTGGAAAGTTCTTATTGGTCACTGTTTGAATTTGAGTGGTATAGTTCTTCCAAGGTCCCCCTATACCCCCCTGGACATATAGCTGCAGGCGTTGATGTTGAGCTTTCCTGCGCCATGCTCTGGACAAATTCCAAACACTACAATTGCTGAAAAGGCATTAGAATTTGCATTCACTTTTGAAGAGAACACCCTGCAGTAAGCATGTTTAATTAGCATTATGTGTTTTTTTTCCTATAGGACACATGTACTTTACACATGCAATATAGACAAAAGGAGTTATCAGGGCTGCCAGCATTGAAGAACAGGCTGAGTGGTAGTATAAAACTCCTACATGACTGAAAGTGTGACCATCTTTATTGCTGGTTAAGATGTGTTTGTTCAATAAAATACCAAACTGGTTCTAATACTTTAGAAGCTGCAACAACATTAATGGGCTTCTGATTTAAAAAAAAAAATCTCCTAGTTAAACGTAGGCGTTAAATACAAGTACTTGTAAAGATCAAAGGACATCATTGTTGCTTTGTCATTCACAGCAATGTTTCTCACCTTCATTACAAATGTGTCTGAGCAGTAACGGCTTGCCTCCAAGCCCTATACCCAGTCCCACAAGACGCTTCACCACGTAAGTATTCTATAATTAAGTCTATGCATTGTTTCTTTTATATTTGTACTTTGCTGTGAAGGTGATGAAAAGGAAAGATGAATTTGTTGCCCAAAGGGCAGAATACAATCTGATAACTCCTAGATTACTTTAAGGGTAACCCGGATAACCCCTTTTACAGACAACACCTGTTACTATATTCAGGACTTTTGTATTGTTCAGTCAAACAACAAATAAACACAAAGTTAGCATAGGTTTGTGTCAACTCTATGATCTGCCCAAGGGATTTGTGTGTCTTTTCGGCCTATCTTGTGGTTCGGGCACTACCAAGTCCTTTCTGTAGAATACACTGCATTTAGGCATACAGCCTGTTCCAGGATCATTCCCAGCTATACAGCCCTGTCCATGACCCCCAGTCCAGACCCATGATTGCTGTCAGCTCTGCCCCCATGTGTAACTTCTCCTCCTTGTAAGCAAATCGTGGCTAAGCATGTCTGACTTGGGGGAAAATAAGATCCTACCAGACAATAGTTGGTTTCATGTATGCTTTGCTGTCATGTGAGAGGGCACAGGCACAAGTTGTTTGAAAGCCTCAGGTTGCAGATGGCAAGTTAGCTGCTTTTGACATTCCTTGACATAAGGTTAGCGTGCATTGAAGTAGATAGTATTATTGATACAGTAACTACTAGGTAGTAAAGTGCTATACTGTGAGGCTGAATAGTGGACATACCTATTTTGCACATAATTCATAACTGGGATATTACAAGAGATTCCAGGAGTGCTGCCAGGTGTCTGCATGGAACAGACACCCCCCCCGGAAGAAATAAAATATGACGACAATTTGTGTATAGTGGGTCCCACTCAGACTTCCACTGTTAGCATAAGGTACATGGCATGCATTAATACGGAAACAAAGTTTGTATAGTTCATACACTTGAATGCTATTAAGTTATTGAAATCTGGGCACGTAGCCTCCAGCCATCAATCTATGCATAATAGCTGAGATGTAATTACTACGCCATTAAAGGGAGTCCTACTAGTTTCAACTGTATAGGACATTGTGCTTAGTGCAGATTTATCTATTTTAGCCTTGAGTTTCTTAGCCCTAATTCTGAATGGTGGTTGCATGTATAGCTTCCCTGGTTTGTTTCAAATTAACAATATTGTCTACTGCTTTCTTTGGTGCTGGTGTGAGTTTTTTCATAGTGGTGTGTTTTGTACAAAGTTTATCTAAATCCAAAAGTATTACCTTTTTTTTGTATCGGGTCAAATTATTTTTTTTTTCTCTTTAGCAGGAGGAGTCAGAGCCCCATCAACTGCATTCGTCCGAGTGCACTTGGTCCCATCAAGAGAAAAGGTATGTTGTAATATGGCCTTAATAATAATAATAATGTTGTTGGCTTGTGTCAGAGTCTTACAGTATGCATGCCTATATGAATGCATGGCAGAGATTGGTATGGTGCACCATTCGGTGGAGTGTCAGTATATCTAGGTCGTGCAAAAGAAAACCAATATGGAGTCATCAGGGCTGCCAGTTTTTAAGTACAGACTGAGCGGTAGTATATGACTCCTACATTGTAAATGTTTCTGTTATTTTGCACAGAGAAATTGCATGTACAAGTCCAAAACCAAAATCTCACCTAGATATATTTATGGTTTTAGTTGAAATGGAAATAGAAACCCAACCAAAGAGGCTGTTTCAAGGAACTACCAACATGCTGTCCCCGGACATGACTCATCTTTCTGATTACAGTTGGTAAGATTATATTCTGGGTATCTAGAATTAAAGGGGGTCATAAACTCGGCAACAGTACCAGATATCAGTAAAAGGCTGCCCTGTGGGGTGTACCGTGGAAATTAAAGGTCTGATGTTAGACTAGAGTGTGTCAGGACAAAAAAAAAAAAAACAGGTACAGGAGATCGACATGCGGGGGTTTTTTGCACTGCAAGTACAGAAAAAAAAATGTTGATCTGTCATAAATGCACTCGGCTCCCAAGTTCTGTTGTGCTGTTACAGCACACAGCATTTTTGTGGCCTTGGTGTCAGCCCTTCGCTAAATGTTTTTTAGTAAACCAGTCAGGCACACCAGCTCTTCCATCTCCAGAACTTAAAGATGAATCATTCTGTAGTCCAAGATAAGAACTAGGTGGGCTAATTATTTTCCTTGAGCTAATACTAGAAGTGTGAACAGGACTGCTCTGAATTTGTGTCATGTTTTTTTTTTTCCGGCACTTATCGAACAGATAAAACAAAAGGCTTCCAATGGTATATTTATCAGAAGTTCATTGTTAGGTTTTACATACACTTTAAGGTCCCGTTCCCACTGCGCGATATGCAAATCGCGCGTTTGTCGCGCGATTTGCATATTGCACGACATCGCGAGATTTGCCGCGCGATGTCGCGTTCAAGCTTGCATTGAGCAAGCTTGAATCGCGGCTAAATCCGCTCCAAAAAGGGTCCTGCTGTAGCGACACACGACCCGCGACAGCAGGACCCTTTGCCCCATTGGATTGCATTGGAGCGCGATATCGCGCGGTAATTTGCCGCGATATCGCGGGAATTACCGCGCGATAAATCGCTCAATGTGAACAGGGTCTAAGAGTAGTGAGAGAAACGGACTCTTGACTTTGTTTTTTGTTTTTGAGCTAGTAACCTGTCATATGCATGCAACTAGGGAAGATAGAGCTGCTGATCCCAGAAACTCACTGACTTGTATTTTTAACATATAGTCTTTTTTTGATAAAATGACAGGAAAGAGAAACGATACATTCCTCTGGCCATGTTGATAAATAGACTTGGCACACAGTAGATTCATATAGCCATCAATGATGGCCACACAAGTTGCATAATTACACATTAGTCCTTGACATATACTACCAAGAGTTGCACATTTCATCATATGCATTCCAATTCACCTTACTTCTGTCCTGTATTTTATCAACAAATCAACATAGAAAGCAACCCATCCAAATTGTGTTCCCATCCCATTACAAGTTAGTTGCGTGATATGTACATGAGAAGTACTTTAAGCCCAGCTATGTGTCCAGCTCTTTGTATGGCTCAGTAGTAGTGCTTAGTTTTCATTAAAAAAAGCATTGTTGATCCCTGAAACTTTATGTCCACTATTTATGCTACAGTAACTCATTCACTTTAGTGACCCAGTCCTTTAGTGAGGGTACTCTCTTGGTTTTTCACCTGAAAGGTATAAGGTTCTTGCCTGCATTTTAGTAGGTATGGTACCAAGGACTTTTTATACAACTTGAGGTCGCATGGATTAGGATTATCAATGGGTCATTCCAGACCTGGAGCGGTAGGTACTAGTTTATGACCGTTTGTCCTCTAGACCAAAACGATCATTCCTACCTTGGGTGTAGAAATGGTGCCTGCAGGCCACAATCTTTCCAGCAACTAATCAATGAGTTGGATAACTTTTTAATAATCCGTAGGAATAATACCAAGGTCTCCCTCCCATTCCCTTAGAAAATAAGGATCTTTCTGTGATTCTAAACTCAAGTACAATGTATAAGGTTGAGTCTCTCAATGGGCATAGTTTTTTTTTTTGTTTTTTTTTTATGTGTTTACTACATCCATTGCTTGTCGTGCAAAGTATCCATTTTAAATGATCCCTTTTCTTCCCTTAGTTGGTCCAGGGGTGCAGTTTACGGTTTGCAATAAATTTACTGTGTTGGACATCCCACCTGAACCCCACCTTCAAAAAAAACTTCACATCCTTTCCAGGGCCAAACCATAGGAACCCCCTTAGTGGCGCTATTGTAGTTGGGTTGGAGCCAAGGACTATTTTTGTTAGGCCTGTCCCAAGCCTTTAATGCTGACAATGTAAGTGGGAACGCAGGCATTTCCCATTACAGTGGTTCCTCGGTTCACAAACTTAATTCGTTCCACGATTCTGGTCGCAAAGCGAATCAAATTTCCCCATAAGGTTCAATGTAAATACGGTTAATCCGTTCTGACCCCTACGAACGTGGTCGCGAACCGATTTTAGTCGCGGACAGAATCACATTTTCCCATAAGGTTCAATGTAAATTAGGTTAATCTGTTCTGAACCAAATGTAATTTTATTTTAACCACAAAAAGACCCACTGCATACACATGATTGAAAAACTATAGTTTTCATTTCATGCTTTTGGTAATGCTGAAAAAGGATTGCTAAATGCCACATATCCGTTGTGGTGCAGCATTTGCATCATGTATATCTGTATTGGAGATCAGCTCCACTTGTGCATTTCTGTTGGTAAGTGCAAGAACTTTACTGAGCAATTCCAGAGCGTGCAATAATGGGATGGTGAGCAAATCCTGGCACTATATCTATTAGGATAGATGGCAGGTTTATTGGGGTTTCCCCAGTTCACTAATTCTTCTCCATTTTCAGCCTTTCATCAGACCTGGACAGCAGCAGCAGCATTGGCTTCTCTGACTCTACGACTAAAGACGGATGTGTGGCTGACTCACCCGTGACTTGTTCCAACTCCAGCTCTTCATTCATATCAATAGATGATCTTTCTCCAAAGTGAAGGTCCCAGCGCAGGCTGTTTATTTTAAAGACTGCATGGTGGAGTCGAGGAGCAAAGTGATCTCTACTCTCCAAGCCCAATCTCTGTCTGTGTATTTTTTTTTTTTGATTCTTTATAATTATTATTATGTATATAACATGCCCTTTCCAGTGTGGACTGTTACAGAAAATAAAGTGGGGCTGTATATTTTATGTACAGAATAGTATGTACAGTATGTGTACATATTTCCTGTATCTTCCAGGTGTTTGTGAATTGTTTTTTCTCTTTAATATTTAGTGTTTATTTATTTAAAACGAATGGATGTAAGGTCTGTAACCACGGGCTAAGAATGTACTTTAACTTAGCTTGGTGACAGATATCGGCCAATGTTGACTGTTGGAGTAATATTGCCAACCAGTAATTTGTCATTGGTGGCTTTTTTAATTTGTTTTTTTTTTTTCAGTTTTTTTTTTTATGTGTCAACTTTATAACATTTTACATCCACTTGAAATTGACAAAATTAATTGGTGCTGTCAGGCTACTGTCTATGTCCTCCAATGTTTCTGCATGTTCATTTGGTTTTTCTGCCCACTCCTGTTTATTTAATGATAAATTTCAGTGCGAGGAAGGTGCAGTCTTTTATCAACATATACAGTATGTGGTTTTCTTTTGACTGTACAACTTTCCCTCTCTGAGAATTAGGGGACAAGTGGCCATTCCCATAACATTTTGCAGGGCATTCCAGCCAACGTTCTGTCTCAAACTATCAAACAGATCAGGACAACCTACTACTAAAAATAGTTTTAATAGAAGCTGTTTAGGTCCTTTGGTCTAGTTGGCTATTTTTGCAATAGAATGCTGCCTGTAATTGCCTGAAAATAGCAGTGTTGGTTTATGCTGTGCATATGGTAAGCTGCTCTACTGCTTTCAACAACAGTAATCTTTCTTAAGGTGACCACATGATGGAAATTGAATAAAAGTGCCTTTCAGGTGGCACAGCAGTTTAGATCTATTAACACTACAATTTCAGTCATGTGGTTACTGAAAACTAAGAAAACAAATTGAACTAAGAAAACAAATGGGTCACCAATTGCCATGTGTTGAAAGCTTGATGAACAGAAAACACCATTGTCTAACTTAAAGTGACCCTGTCACCACAGCGTCACTACTAAACACAAGGCAGCCTGTAAGAGTGAATTTGCTTACCCGTCCGGCTGCCCGTGTGCTTAAAAAGCTGCGGCTTCTCTATTCTCCAGCACCACTTGCGGGTATGCAGAATACCTGCTACGCTATTGCAAATTGTAGTTCATCCCACTGGCTCACACCTCACTACAGGAAGTATGAGCCAGAAGGAGGAACCCACTGTGTGCTGTGGGGTAACGGGTATTATACCGCCCGAGAGGTCGAATACCTTCAATGGCTGGAGAGCAGCAAAATTATGCTTTTCAACACACAGGCCACTGGAAAGGTAAGCATTGTTCACTCTTTCACAGGCTGCCTTGTGTGTAGAGGTGGCAGGTTCACTTTAAGTCTAGATGGTATACAGATTTGGAGACTGTGGCAACCAAATAATTTCCCTCGTATTTGACATTTTTGAATTTTCCCTATCAAAAGTTTCTCTTCCAGAACGGGAAAGTTGTGAAAAATGACTGTGTTCATACAAATGTGTGACATTTTAAGAAATAAAACCAAAGCATATTTAATTTTAATTTAATCTTAGTTTCATGGTGGATCAAGTTTAAGTAGACATCCCAAAAATGGCTTGGTTGGGTATAAGGTGGTAGGTGATATGTGTAAAGTTATGCATGCCTGGCAGACGTGAAGTTGTGCTGCCAATGTCTTCCCCATGAGTTTCTACACCACTAGTACATGGATGTGGCTGTGGATTTTCCATTACAATAGAGGAGACACAGAATCCTAACAAGCTGCAATGTTAACTGGCTAAGATTGTCATCGGTACTTTGCAGTGCTGGATCTTTCCACTAAAGCTGCAAACGTAGGCACAACCATACACACGGTTTGTGCTTGTCACTCTCCCAACACAATGAAGTCTTCATTCTGGCTTTAAGTATTAATCTAAACAAAGATTTAAACATCCCCTTTTAATTATTCTGTTCATGGAGAGATAATACCACGCTTTTTAAATACAGCTAGAAGAAATACTTGAAGCTGGGTTTTATATTGGCTTTCTGTAATCCCTGTGCACAGCAGCACTCACACTTGGGGAGGGTCATTTAGTACGGGCCCGACCAGGGTTCTATGACTTTTCACAATTCTGTCTAACACTGTGAACATACCTACAGGGGGAGAGCGCACAAGCGTGACTTCAGTGTACTGCTGCCTACTTCATTGTCCAACCAGCAGGCTGGGAAAGGAGAATGAAGTAAAGCAGGCATCAATTCAGTCATTTTTCTCTTGGAGTCACCTGTCAGGAGAGCAAGTACCACTACTGTGCTTGGGAAGTGGTGGGAGGAGTGTTTGCAGCTCTAAGGTAGGGCATGTACATGGGCCATATTTAAATCTTGAAATGTACTCCGATTTCTACCCTCGCTTAAGAAATGTTGCTGCTTTTTTGGGTAGCTAGTCTTGAATAGGTTGACAAAGTTTGGCTGACCTCTCACTCCTTCCAGAAACTTAGAGACAGATATATTTTGACTATGTGTGTTTCTGGAGGCAGAGTAACACTGTGGAGAAACTACGGGTCCTGGTGTGCTTGTCTAGGGCTTGTAGTTCTTTAGCGATTGCTTAAAAAAAAAAAAATCTGTCGCCCTTTATGTATGTAACCTAGTGTGCATTGAATCGTATGCATTCTGCAACCAAACGTTCCAATATTGCTTCAAACTATTGAAAGACCACTAAAGTTGCAGTGCAAGTGCCAAATATGTATAGGAAAACAAAGCACTTTTAATAATGAAAAATACATATTGGCTTTTAGAACACATTCTGGCTGCATGGTGACTTTCTCGTATACTTCTATCCCAACCCTTGCAAAAGTTCTGCCAAATTGCTTAATGTGTACAGTTATGTTTGACTTTAACATGCAGGGTACATGGGTTTTACCAGAAAAAAGTTACCAACAGAGAATCCTTTTTAGCAATAATAATGTTTGTGGATTTGGGCCAAACTGCACAGCCAGAATTTAAAGCAAACCTGTCACAAGATAAAAAGCATCAATGTGTGTTGAGTGTCTGAGAACAGGACAGCTTGCGTGCCTGTTTGTGAGTTTTTTTTGTTCAGCAGTTGTGTCCTTTGGCTGCAGGTGCATGTTATATGTAAATTTCAATTTGCAGATCAAGTTGAGTGTTTTGGTAGACCACTGGATCTCCTATGCGTAGCTATTGTTTTTCTGCTGCCCAGCACAGCATAAAGAAGTTTGCACGTTTTTCATTGTAGGCAGCATAGGTTGTCTGTCTCAGTGAATGACTCTACTTGTGTGTGTATAGTACACATCTGCGTTCTAGGTCCCCTGGGATGCTCCAGAGCAATCTTGGACAGAGACAGACATGTGTAGGCACACTATGTTTACTGCTATCAGATATTTAAAATGTATGTCAAGTCCCGACCCAAATTTACCCTCCCTCTTCTTTAGAGAATGTGCCAGCATTTATTTTTCTTGTGGCTAAAAACAGCTTTTTTTTTTCTTTACCCCTATGGACCTTGTCAACAGGCTTGTAAAATAGATGCAGGGCAGCTGCTGGGAGCTCAGTTCAAACTAATGTGGAATGTGAGATCGCAGTCACAAAGTCGGATAAAAGTGACATTTCAGGACCGATCAGCTGTTGCAGGGTAAATGGGTTCTCCTGCACATACAATCTGCGATGCCGATCTGCCCTGGAACAGCTGAGAAAGCGTTGGAATTCTTCACCTTTTGCCGGTCACATATTCCACCGCCAAAAAACTGGGCAGGATCACGTTAAAATGTGTGAGCACATGATCAGTCACACATTCCACCGCCAAAAAACTGGGTGGGATTAGGTTAAAATGTGTGACTACGAATGTGAATGTATTGCAGAGATGTACTGAATGGGTTTGGTTTTTTTATTTATTTTATTTGGCCAAGGCATACATTTTAAAGTTTTGATGCTTTTTATTTCTTCACAGGTGTACTGTTAATCCCACAACTGTATATTACATTTTGGATAACAGGCGCCCTTATGAGTAATACCGGAAAAACTGTAAAATATGACATTTTGTGTAAATGTTTAGTTTCAATTTCAGATCCCTATTTTTTTCCTGTCTATAAATGTATATTTAAGCTTGCAGCTTCCGCCTGTGTCATATTGCTGTTTTTATTTTGACACTATCATCAACATGGCTCATTACTTTATGTTAAAATAGAGCTTTAAGTAGGCTAGCCATCTATTTTGTATAGATAAGATTTTCACAAATGCCTATATTTGTAATGTTTTATTCTTGGAATAAATGTATATGTATGCATGTCTTGCATGTGTGTTGTCCTCTGTTGGCTGTCTTCACAAAGCTCAAATATGTAGAATTTTAAACAAGCTTCACCTTTTGCGACCATGTTCCATGTTACACCTATATTTAGGGCCGGTTCACACCTAGACGGCATTGTTTTTGCATATTTGTACACGCGGATTCACACTTTTATGCACGTTTTGACTGGCACCTTAAGTGGGCCATTGAAAATCATGGGATTTCTTGTGTTGGGCGTTTAAAAGAGCTTTTCCTACTGCTCAAAAACGCCTAGGTGTAAACCAGACTTTAAGCTTGCCATATACCTGTAGATTATCTGCAGATTTTCTGTGGTCAGATGGAAAAAGTGCAACAGATTCCTCCATCTACGCTAAGCTGTGTGGATGTAGGAATATCCCACTGGGCCAAGCTTCAGTATCTTGCTAGTCGGCCCCTCTGGCTCTCAAAATATCGGAACAATGTCTGCATCCAATAAGATTGTTCAGGTATTTTGAGAGCCAGTGGGGCTGACTAGCAAGATACTAAAGCTTGGCCCAGTGGGAGATTACTCCATCCACACAGCTTAGCGTAGGTGGAGGAATCTGTTGCACCTTTTCCATCTGACCATAGAAAATCTGCAGATAATCTATAGGTGAATGGTGGAAAGATTAATAGGGTTATTCACAAACGGGTGAAGAGTTTGGAGAAGGCAGGAGAAGTGAACAATCTAGGACAACATAACTGAACTAGAAAGGAGCTGAATTGGAGAATTTTTCCAAATCGGCTATCTTGTCCTAGATTGTTCCCTTCTGCCGTCTCCAAACCCTTCACCCTTTTGTGAATAACCCTGTAAAAGTCTCATCTGCCACCACTTCAGAGGGACTCTTGATTTCTCAATGGAGTACAAGTGCGATGGCATCACTGCACATGTAGTCCATTGATTGCTTCCTTCAGTCCTGTAACCAAAAGTCCATAACTCGTTACAGACAGGGGCTAGGAGGAACAGTCTGCAGGTGCCTGGGCGTTGCACCCGCAGTTGCAATGCTTTGCAGGTTCAAATGCAAAAAAA